AATAATAATAATAATAACAACAACAACAACGAACATTCCTTAACTCCAACATTATCATCTCCAACCGTTCCAACAAATTCAAGTACAGCTTTTACAAATAAAACAATATCAACACCTGTTTTTTCTCCTCAAACATTTGCTCAAACTAAATTTGGTTCATTAAAATCTAAACATGCTGGAAAACGAAATCAATCAAAGTAAATAGGCAAACAAAAATCTTTATTTTAGTTATTAGTTCTTTATTTAGAATGTTACCAAGTGAATTTTCTGCTTATATCAAACAAAAAGAACAAATTCAACAATCAAGAATATTACCCGTATCATTAGTTGATACAAAACCTACGATAATTCCATCTTCATCAGCTATAATTCGTCCACCGAATTATAGAAATTATTATAATCCATATGTTTCACATACACAAATGAATTCATCAATATTTAATAATGATTTACCATTAAGACCAAATACATTACCATTAACAAATGGTCAGTCATCGATTTACGTTGAACAACAAATGACAAGTTCAACATCGTAAAACGCAACTATTTTTTTTTTGTTCTTTTGTTATACTTATTTATTTATTTATTTATTTATTTATTTATTTACTTATTTATTTTAATCGTTGTTTTCTTTCTTTTTTTTCTTTTGGTTAAATGGCCTCGGTTTTGTACTTTTTTCGTATTTTATCTTATTATTATTATTATTATATAATTTATTAATCGATTTTTGTTTTCTGTTTTTTTTTTGTTGTATTTGTTTTGTGTTACTCTATCTTCTTCCACAAAATGACAGAACAGTTTCATTCCTTTTTTTTCCCAAAAATTTTTTTTTCATGTATAAAGAGAATACAATATATTGTTCCACATTCCAATAAGGTGAATAATAATCTCTCTATTGTAGAAAATTATAATCAGCAATACATAGTTTTATTTTATGAAAAAAGAAAAACACATTGAACAAATGTTTATCGTTTTCTTTCTTAATTATTTCATAATAGGATTTTTTAATCATTAGCTTCAACATTTCGAAAAAGATAACTCATAGATTCTTGATTATGTATACGACGAATAGCTTCGGATAATAAAAGACTTATATCAACGGTTTTAATTTTTGAGCATTGAAGTTTAGCAAATTCATGTGGAACTGTATTTGTAACAACAACTTCGGATATTTGAGATTCTTCGATTAATGATGGAGCATCATTTGTAAAAAGAGCATGTGTTGCAAGTGCATAAACTTTATACGCTCCACGATCACAAAGAATATCAGCAGCTTGACAAAGACCAGCAACATCATCAATCATATCTTCAACCATAATAGCTATTCGACCGCCTACATCACCGACAACATCCATTGGCAATTTACCTTTGACGAGAACGTCTATTAAAGAAAAAAAGAATATATATTCTTATTTATTTTAATTTCTTTCTTTTTTCTTTTCTTAATAATTATTATTATTTTTATTCAATAAAGTCACGCAACCAGTAAATTTATTTTGTTTCTTACTTAGTTCATCACAATAAGAGTAGCGGAAACCGATTTTGAAGGCCGGATATCGTATTTCCTATTGCAACATATTTTCCGTTCGAAATAGGAATTTCTAAAGTTTTCTTAATCGATCAAAAGTAGTTCAAGAATATTTTTCTCTCATTATTAACAAAATAATAAGTATGAATAAAATAACAAATAAAACAAATTTGTTTTTTTTTTGTTTTAATTTCTTATCTCGATAGAAAATTAATTTAATGAAAGAAAATAGATCCGATAAAATCTATCAAGCAGAAATTAATATACATCTAAGATGAAGAAGAAAAAAAACTACCATTTTTTGACCGTGAACTTGCTTTTCCGCTTGTCTGATTTATAAAAAAGCTAGCAGTCATGCAGAAGAATATGTGCGGTTATATATCTATATGTGTATGTAGATAGACAATAATTACTTGAGCCTAAGGCAAGTGATGGAATAGTAAATACACTTCGACGTTTTGACATAGATGCAATAGGATTATCCATGTTAGATGACGGTGGTGGTGAATTTCGTCCATCAGCTTCTTCACTCTCTATTTCTCCATCTTGACAACCATGTATAACTGCAATATTTAATTTTAATCTTTCAGCAAAACCAGTTACCCGTTTAGCTTGATTAGGTGTGCGAGCAACAATAACTGAATTACGCCAATCAGGAATCTTAAACAAAATATTTTGTATTGTATCAAATAGAATATATGAGAATGATTTTCGTTCTTTACTTGTTGTTGAATATAATCAAGTAAAAATGATGATGCTCGTAAATTATCAACTGGAATATCGAAAAAACCTTGAATCTCTTTTTGATGTAAATCAACAGTTATTAAATGTGTTAATCCTGCTTTAACAAGCATTTGTGCAACAAGTTTCATTGCAATACATCCACGTTTTTTTTGTTTACTTTGTTTACTATCTAAAAATAGAATAGAATTTTTTAATTGAAAGAACCTATTCAAAAACATATTCACTTACAAGGTAAATAGGGTAAAACTCCCTAGAAGAAATATTAAAGTTTTTATTACTATGTTAACATAAGTAAGTAAACTTACTATAATATTTTTAGCGCATGATGTTTTGCAAGCATAACTCATAATCATAAGCTCCATAAGATTATCATTTGGATCTCTGAATTAAAAATAGTTTAACAAAAAAAACGATATTGATTTCTTACTTTGTTGAACCAGTTTGTATAATAAAAACATCTTTACTACGAACAGACTCACGAATTTCAACATGAGTTTCTAGATTAACATAAATAAATATGATTTAAAAGAATTTCATGTATATATATTAACCTTTATCAGACTTCTTATAAACACGGCATTCCCCAAGTGGTTTAATTCGGCTAAAGACAAGAAAATTTATATTTCATAGAAATAATTATTTCAAAGAAAACGAGCAGTGCATTTCAAAAAGAAAAGATAAACATATTTATATTGTGATTAAAGCGTATACATACTGACTACTGTCTGTCCTGTAAGAGTAAACAATTCTATAATGAGATAAAGAAAAGCAACATTCACCATGGTTAATAATATTAAAAGAAAATTAATGTGAAAAAGAGAGTAGTTAAACATTGTACATATCAGTTAAGATTATTTTATCTGTGTATCAATGTTAGTGATTAAGAAAAAAACATACCTCGAAATATTTTCAGCCAATTCTGGATATGAATTACCAGTGAGAATAACTAGATTAAACAATATTATATTAACTATCGTTCTTCATGCAATAAAAAAAAATAAGTTTTATATCGGATCAATATAAGTTTGTTTTGTATTATATGTGTATCTGTCCGATTCTCTAACTCAATTTATACACGTAGGAGTTAAAATAAACTATATTATCTCATTTTAAGATAATATCACTTACCCATCTCAGAGCGGCCAGTACGATCGGCGGACATTTTCTATTTGATTTAAATCTGAGAAGAAACAAAAAAAGCAAGTATAGAATTGAATGAATAATATAATATGTAAGATAAATGAAATATTCCTACTGGTTTTTATGGTAGAAAGAAATAACAATAATAATGTTATCTTTTGTTTGTTCTGTACACAAAAATTTTTTGTTCCCTACTGGAATATGAAAAACAAGATTTTCATCAAAGTAGTTTATGATTTCAATTACTTTCTAATTATTCGAAATGACATGCAGAACTAATCAGATTTGTTTTTTTTAATTAATCATATAAAGGTATTTTTTTTTTCGTCATTAAGTTATTGGATAATAAATAGGACGTATTTTTCATAGAAATGATTGATCGATAAAGCGATAGTTTATCTCAATAATTAAGTTTTTCGATTTTTTCACGCTTCATGAATGTTCAATCGTTCAAAGATTGTGAATTAGAACGATTGAATTATATCTCATTCCTCTTTTGTCGACCGACTATGTATTCAGTAGATATTTTTAACTAACGAAAAATCTTTTAAAAACTGTTATCTAACATATGATTCTATGGGAAAATAAATAAATAGTAAAAAAATAAATTTATTTCATTTCTACTTTATTATTTGAGATTTTAAATAACCAATTGTTGATTCACGTCGCTAGTTTACAGAGTTATGTGTATTATAAAATGTACGTAGAAAATAATAAAAATCTCATTTCAAATCACGTCGGCTTTCTATACTTGTTTCCTTATAAACAGCAAGAGGAATTCCTTATATCAATAAAATTGTTACCTCAGGGGAGTACAATATTTATTTGAAATAGTTTGTATATTTTTAATTGAAGTAACAGTTAAAATAGCTGCACTTATAGAATATACGTAGTAGAACATGCTAAATGATTCGTAATTAATAATTCTCTGAAAATACTCATTACAAGTACGTTTAATATGTATTTATCAGTAAGGATTTTTGAATGACTTATCTTTTTCTTTGAAATATAAAGTGTATTTCAAAATATCTAATAGTTGAAGAATTTCGATAAATTCTAATATTATACCTTCTGTTTATATAGCTATTATTACTAAAAATAAGAAATATGAGGAGACTAATTGTTAGTATAGAATCTGTTATAGAAATGTCGAGAAGAATGATAATAGATGGATATTATTAAAAATATAACATTATAATGACAAGAAAAAATGAATAATCATGCTTTCATATTTACTGTTCTTAAACCTGTAGTAGCTGTTTAGCTCTATATTGATGTACATCATGAAAAGAAATAAAACAGTTAGTAATTATAATCGAATATAATCGCTAAATATTTACGCTTCATTAGCTACATAGAAATATATGGCCATGACCGATAATAAATTATAATCGATGATTTCATCAATTAATAACTAAAATTAGACTGTAGGTTTAAGAGTAGAAACATAATTTATCTTATAAAAGACGTATGCTCTAGTCAAACAAGTTATCTTTATCTAATATACACGATGCTTTCTATATGATCTATTAATTCAATACCAGTACAATGACTGAAGCTCATTCAATTGTTGATAATTCGATTCTTTCAATATTCGACGATAATAGTGATTATTTTATATCATATTAATGTTTCCTATGCTATTTAAGTTCTCATATGTTTCACCGGATACATTTTGGTTATAATGTATGTCTTTTGCTCCTAGGTTTCTTCAATAAAAAACAACGGTACAGAATTTATAGTTAACACTCAACTAGTTATTGTGAATTGTTTGTTTATTTCTAAAACTACTGTTGAAATCAGTGTCATTTATTTGAAGGAATGAAGTATTCGCCTTCTACAGCAGGTCACTGCTGGTTTTATTATATGTATTAATATTTAT